AATTTCCTCCTACGACTTCGGTTGTTGTTCGGGATACAGTTAAGGTTTTAACGAAGTTCGAGCGAATACGTAATTAGCAAAAAAAGTTAAAATAAAGTGATTAAACAAAAATTATTACAAATATCGTAAATAACAGTTCACAAATGCATATATAGAGATATTTTTTGAAATAGGGGGAAATGGTTTTCACAATTTGAAATCGATCGAACACACTGTCTCGATACACTCGTATAACCGCGCGCCATCTATCTTGGGTTAAATGTACTATGCCAGAAACATTTGCGGTAGTGTATTAAAAAACTTTCCTAAGTTTTATTGCAATCGTACTATGCTACACACATGCGCGAGTGTATATTAAACAACTTCCCAAAGTTTCATGGCAATCGGATAAACGGCGTGGTAATGCATGAAGGACATAAGACAGACACACAGACATACATTCATTTTTATATATATAGATGAATTTATCTATTTCTAAGTATACATTGAAAGCGTCTGTAGAAGTAATTTTTCAAAATATCCTTTTTTCTGATAAAGATTTAATACTTATTATTATAATCTAGACGTGTTAATCCTTAAATATACTTGTATATTGCCCACAAGTATATATTATACATACTTGTGGCTCAAAACTCTTTGACTTCTTCCAATGCGGCCCAGAGAAACAGAAAGGTTGCACACCCCTGGTTTAGTAAATAATAACAGAAAACTAAATTTTAATGTAGATAATAATTAACCTATCTATAGTGTCATTTATAATCGTTCTTATTTAAAAACTATACTCATATTAAATTTTTCGTATATTTTTTAAACTACTTTACTTAGAAAAATTTAAAATTTTACTATTTTATTCCAATCGTGATAATTTGAAAAATTGCTAATGAATTTTTATCTAATATTTGATATTGTGAAATTAAATTCCATTTTTCATGTCCAATGTTTTCCGATGAATGAACTAGAAATATTTAATTTTTCCATATTAATTCCCAGTTTAAATTTCTTGAAAATTCAAAAATGAACTTAGAGGTTAAGTCAATTCGTTGACTTATAACATCCCACTTAACATATTTTTGATAAATAAATACTATTTTCGTCTATTGGTAAACTCGATTTTTTAAACAATTGATATTATCTGTTTGTATTCTGTAAGAAAAAAATTACATTAAGATAAACGTGTTTTTATTTTTTATACGCATAACATATAGCACACATTTTCATAGACGTTACACCACTTTTTTTTCAATATTACGAGGTGCAATAATGTTGATTAATTTTTTAATACGATTTCTAAGAAAATAGTTATCTATTGCAATGAATGCAATTAAATTTTATAAAATTTAAAATACATTAAAATTGCCACAAAATAAAAGATACGAATGTATTTTTTTTACGTATTAAGTAGTAAGTTTACAATTCTATTGTGCACTAAAGATTTCTGACATTTCTACACCCAATTCCATTAGATGTTCACTTACGTATTCACTTTTCGAAAATTTTGCTGTTTTAAACCCTAATAAATCTTTCATTTTTGGGTTTTTTTTTTCTTAAATTTCTGACATTTCTACACCCAATTCCATTAGATGTTCACTTACGTATTCACTTTTCGAAAATTTTGCTGTTTTAAACCCTAATAAATCTTTCATTTTTGGGTTTTTTTTTTTCTTAAATTGTCCCAAAATTCGTGCTTTTGATAAAACCAACAGCAGGTAATGTAATTTTTTTTTCTCATTAAATACCAAAATATGTCTACTATGTGACTTTCAAAAACATGTTTACTATTGATTGAAAAATTTGTCTTTAGAATATTATCTGTAAAGACTTCAATCTAACATCAACAGTTTGCTTTTCAGGTTGAGATTTTGTTTCTTCAATTTTGTCAGATACAAAAAATACTCTAACAGGTTTTTGGAGAATTAATAGTGTTCTCATATGTTCAAGTTAATGAATAGTGCTCTCATATCTTCAAGTTAATGAATAGTGATGTCATATCTTCAAGTTAATGAATAGTGCTGTCATATCTTCTCACTATGATTGAATAAACTAATACTCTCGAATAATTCTTCTCTATTACAACCAATTTGTATTTCTGACTTTTAATAACTCACCAGTAATTCGGAAAGAAACTAAAGCCATCTGCTTCGCCATTAGATTCATTTTCTTATTACCTTGCCAATTAAACTACCTGACATAGACGATTTCAGATTCAACAGAAAGGGTAAAATCACTATACCGGATCGATTTTCCAAAATCCTCTATTTAGTATTTAATTAAAGGAATATTTTTCGCACTCGATTTCCTGATTACATTTTAAAATTTATTTAATTTACAAACGTTAGCCGATATGTTTTCTCTTAACAAATTATTACATATTTCACGTAAAACTTTGATTTGGTTAGAGGATCTTTTTTCAGTATTGCTCTGCTCTGTAACTGTGTAATCTTTCCCGAATTTCACCGTCTATGTATAACGGGCCAAAAGGTCACGACGTTGTCAAACTGACGCAGCATCGCCAACGATTCAGTCACACAACTTATCATATGAATACCTTTTATTTGAGTGTATCAACTAGTTTTATAACTAAAAAATATATTTTTAATATCAGTTCTACTAATTCTATAATCCAACCCAAACATTCTTTACTTTTTAGTGCAATAATTATCATAACGGAATAAAGTATATTGTAATGTTAGCGCAGTCAGCAGACACAATTTTTTCTATCTAATTGAAAAGAGATTGTTTAGCCAAAATGCATTTCGGTTGGGTTAATTAGAAACACTGGAAGTATATATAATAAGCTTGTTCATTAGCCCTAAGCAACTATATATCTATAACTAATTAGTACAGGCAAGACGAATTTTAATATAGTACATATTGTTGTTATTAAGAATCAGAATACTTAAATTTACAATTAAATATTAATAATCAAACAACAATTATTTGGAGATGAGAAATTAATATTTGTTTTATATGTACTGTACTTTACAATACATATGAATTTATTAACATTATTAATATTTAGTTACAGTAAGTGATTACACAAGAAACAAAAAAAACCAAAAAATAAATATGCAAACGACTTATTTATTAAAATTTTAATTAAATGTGAAATATTCCGCAGGATCAAAATACAATTTAATAGCATATCTTAACCTTATTATTAATTATTAGCAGACCCCGCCACGCGTTGTTGTGGCTCAAAATGTATCTATTATAAATGTATAATTTTCCCCGTGGGGGATTAATTTTTCGAAAAATTTCTTCTTACTGTACATTCCTTGACATACCCTAATAAAACGCAATCAAAAACGCAAAAATCCGCATCTAAAATAGTATAAATAAAAGCACAGTTTTTTAGGGTAAGCCTTAATCCTAATCATTACCCAGTGGGGGAATTTCGACATGTATATTATATAAAAACACGTGCGTCTTCGAATGCAACATTGTGTCAGAATATCAAAGAAATCGGTAGGAACAAATTTTTATCTATATAGATAAATAGAAGATGATCTGCTTTAGTTCATTT